GTTCTTGCGTAGTTCCATTTGTAGCTGGCGAGCGCAATCCTTTGGTGAAAAATCCCAATGCAAATACCACAACTGCGGTAATTTGTAGTACACACAATATTGGCCAGCAAACATTCCGAGCACAGAGCATTCAGCAGAAAATCGTCCTCTGTACCGAAAAGTAACTTCTTAGTACTAAAATGCATCACGTGTCCCATCAAAAACCGAGTTCAACATACGAGGTCCAGTTGCAGCACTGTTAATGGGAACGTATGCGACTTAATGGACCGAAACATTCCAATTCAGTTTTATTTTTATTTTTACTTCTGCCTTTTAATTTTTATAACCTTTTTTATACCCATATCTAAATTTAAATATCTTAATTTACAATTTGCATTCAACATCAATATGAAATGTTTATTTTACTCCTCGGTTGTCCCGTTCAATTTGGCAATCGGAAGTGTTGTTATTTTGAAGTTCCCATGCATTCAGTCTACTATTCTTTTCGCCCAGTTCATATGCTACATTACTGTCCTTAACAATGATTAAAAACCGCACTTCCCCATCTCTCACCTTCACCTAAACTCGATCGTCACAAACGAGGGAATTTCTTTCCCTTCTTGTTGCAGAAGGCAATAATACACTGCAATTCCTATGTGGTATTTTTGTATAAATCTAGCCGAATCCTCTTTTTCCACGTTGTATCCCCACACTTTCAAAATCAGCCTTCAAAAACGAGCGGATCTCACGAACATCAACGTGAAATTTTCGGAACTCAAAATAACTCCGGAGCCACAAAAGCTAGGAAGCTGGAAATTTAGAAGAATATTTTCCCGTCCATGTGTGGCCCAGAAAATTTGAAAATTCCCTCTTGATGTACGCCTAGGTCTCATACACATTCACGAAAAAATCTCGGCGTCACAACTGACAACTTGGAAACCACAAAAACTAGGAAGATGGAATTTTAAGAGAATGTTCCGCTGCTCATGTAGCACCGCAAATTTAAATTCAGCCTTCTCGTGCACTCAGTTCTCACGTACGGCCATGTAAAACTTTTGTCGCTAAAATTTGTAACAAGGGAACCACAACAACTTGCGAAGTCGTGCTTTTTGTCAGTAGTATTAAAGATGTGAATTTCCACTAATATAAAAATGCGAAAAACAGGGCGCCGTCATCGAATTCATGTGTGTCAAATTTTAGGCCTCATCGATGCACGACCGAACCTATTCCAGCTTTACTTGTAAACAGTTTCCAGAAGCATTCGGCAGCAACACAGAACAGCTTTTCTTGCAAGGCACACTGCTGCTTCGTTGGGATAAAAAACAGATTTATCAAACTAATCATAATAAAAATAACAAATCAGTGCAGTGATAAGTGACTGAAGATAATAATAACGAGTGACTGGGAGAGGGAAGGGAAA